AGGTCCAAATTAAAAATAAGTGAATTTGGGGCTCTTTTGGGAACAATGGTAAAAAGCCAAAAAGTTGGCTTTTTAGCTTTTTTAGCAAAAAAAGCCAACTTTTTTACCCAAAACAACCCAACTTTTTGCCAAAAAAGCCACTAAAAAAGTCAAAAAGCCAAAAAGTCAGCTTTTTACCAACTTCCCAAAACACCCCTTGATGGTCAAGTTAGACTCTGCGATTGTGACAATGACAAGATGGTGATGGTAATAGTGATAATGTAATGGGTAAAATGAAAATAATAAGGGTAATAATGGTTATGTTATGGTGGCCAGGTAATAATTGTTAAGTGATGGCATTCGTAAGGGGATGACAGTACAACTTATAAACTGGTACAACTCAGGCTTTGTTTGGGATTTGATTTTTTAAAATATTTTTTTAATTTTTTTTTATAAAAAGATGTGTAAAAAATAAAAATATTAATTTAATAATTTTGGATGAATTTTTAATTTTTTTGCTAAAATAATAAATTTTCAAACATTATAAACATATGCAGTCGCACAATACCAAACAACTTTTCGTACTTTTTATCTCTAAAACACATCTCTCAAACACAAACCAAACATACCCTATAAACTTAAGCAGTCGCACAATAAGGCTCTGTTTGTCAATTTTGTCAATTGATTAAAAGTGAAAAAGTCAAATTATTCTTTATTTTTTTTTAATATTTTTTATAAAAATCAAATATTTATTAAAAAAAATCAATTGCTAAACAAACTCTCAGGGTCTGTTTGGTAACTATTCCGTTTTCAGTTTTCAGTTTATATTTACAAAAATTTTAAAAATTGTCATAAAAACTTCTTTGATAATTTTTTTGGTTTATAAATGGTTGTCCCAGTTTATAAATTTAAGAAAAAAATGTAAACTCAAAAAATAAGTTTACGTTTTCAGTTTTCAAAATTGTTTTTCAATTAATTTTTTTCAATTAATTTTTTTTTCAATTATTTTTTTTTCAAATAATTTTTTTTTCAATTATTTTTGTCAATTAATCTTTTTTTTTCAAATAATTTTTTTCGAATTAATTTTTTTTCAATTATTTTTTTAATTAATTTTTTTTTCAATTATAATTTGTGTGATCCCATTGTCATAAATAATAAAATAAATATAAATATTTTAGGGCTGAACAAACATATTTTTTAGTTTATGTTTTTAAATTTTTAAAAATATTTTGTTCAAACCAAACGTGTTTATAATTTATGTTTTCTAAAAATAAACAAAAGTAGTTTATAAAATTTTTATAAATATAAACAAAAAATATAAACGTTACCAAACGCTGCCTCAGTGTTTGGAGATTTGGCCGGAGCTACCAAATTTCAAATTGATGCTAATTTAAGGATTAAAAAAAATATTTTGTAGTTCAAGACCCTTATTTTTTTTGGATATTTTTTGACACTTCAACTTTAAATACTATTTTTAGAAGACTGAAGCTAATATAAACTTATAATGGAAGATGTATCACTAATTTTCCTATTTTCAATAGTTGAGGTAAATTTGCTATCTTCAAATTATGTAGAAGCCTTTTTTTTTTGTTTTGTTTTGTTGTACTTCTTCAAAATTTCACATTAAGGTCTCTTTTGAAAAGTGTAAAAAAAAGTCAGTTTATTAACTTATTTGGGTCATATCATTTTTCTATTTTTTACATGTCTTTTTGTAATAAGTAAATTTTTTTCTTTTTTCACACTCTCCAAAACAACTTTAAGAGTTTTGTACTTAAAATTCTAGCGTATTTTTAATAGTACTTAAAATCTTAATTGGTGTTTTTTCTATTTTTCACATCTTTCATTTTAATATTCATATTTCTAGTTTTCATATATTTTCTTTTTGATTTCTTTCATTCCCAACTCAAGAACCAAGCTGAGACAAGAAAGAAAGAAAGAAACTCCATTCCCTTACTTCAAAACACTTGCAATATATATATTATCAAATACAAGTAGTTTAAAAATACGACTTTAAAAATTTTATAATAAATTAATTGAAGCTGTTTCATAAGACAATTTGACTTGGAAAATAAATTTAAAAAGTCAAATTTCAGATAAGAAATAATTGCAAATTAGAGAGGGAATAAAAAAAATAATTACAATAGGTATGGACAAATGTCAAAAATTTTAAAAATAGTGAAGACAAATTCTAAAATTATGAAAAAGCCCTTCTCTTCCTCTCTCTCCTCTCTTTCCTTCCTAGCAACCCCTAATGACGAGCAAGCCCTCCTCTACCCTTCAATGGATGGTAGCCCCTTTTTCATCTTCTCTTAATGCTGCCATTCCCTTACCTTTCACGCCGCTGCCAACCTCTTCCCTACCTCTTTTTGTCACTGCTAGCTCCTTTTCAACTATCATTCTCGTGGTTTATGTAATTTCGTGATTTTGTGATGGTTAATAGATATTGTATTTTGGTGGTTTGCGATGAATCTAGTTCATCCAGCAAGGGGAATGTGACAACCACCTCCTTAATTAAGCAAATTAATTAAATTGATTATGTGCTTAATGCTAATTATATGATTATATGTTACAAAATGTTATTGTGATGCCAAGTGATTATTTGAATTGTGTTATTTTGGACAGATAGATTAAGGTGAATATTAAACCTGTCTGATTCGTTAATTGGTAACAAGTTAGAATTAAGAAATTGGGTAGGAATTAGAGCCTAAGTCACCTTGGCATAATTTAATTTAGTATAATAAGATTATATTGTGATGAGGATTAATTAAATTGAGTGAGTTAATTTACATTAATTATGTGATTAATTATTAACCTTTTTTTTTTTTGAAAAAAAAGAAGAAGAAAATCCTACTCATCACTTGTATAGGAATAAGAGTGTAGTGTAGTGGGTTTTTCTTATTCCTAGATGCATACACGTAGGAAGAGGGAGAGTAGAAAACAAAACAATTATGAGAACTCAACCTAAAGAAGATAGAAGAGAGAAAAAAATAAGGGAAGAGAAGGTAAAGAAATCATTCTAACTACACTCTATTCTTCATAATACACTCAATCTAGGTAAGAATTACCCTATTTCAACTCATGAATTTGTAGAGTGATGTCTTAATTTTAGATTAGTTAAGAAATTAAGAGTAGAATTGAGGTTTAGTTCATATAATTAGAGAATTGAAACATGCATGGCCTATAATGGACAAATGAGAGAAGTAACTTAAGATAGCTCCATGCATGGCATGATTTTCATGGAAATTGTTTTCATATTGCATGAATCCATTGATAAAGAACTTCCATGAAACTTTGAAGCTTGAGGCTCATTTGTACAATTTGTGATCTTGTAATGAATTCCAAGAGTATAGAATTGTTGTTTTTTTGGAATTAAACCCCAAGTTGGAGCCATGTATTTTGTTTAACATTTGTTATGTTTAAAAGGATGTAATCTTGAAAGATTTGGGACTTAAATTGCATGAATTGTGACTGAATCTGTTAAAGAATTGCACTGCCATTGTAGGACAGCTTTCAGGCTCAAATTACCCAGCACCACACGTGCGAAAAACAGGGCACTTCAATTGAGCATACTGCATTATATACAGGTGTAGGGGACATGTGCGACACGGGTCTCGTACGTGCCGCCAAGCCTTCCACCCGTGCGGCACTTTTGGGTGACATCAGTTTGTTTTTCGCTCCTTTTCTCCACCTTCCGGGTCCTCGTTTACATGGTTTTAAAGTGTTTTTCATATGCATTGCATCTCAGGAATGAACGAATGAAAGTTAGAACCGATAAAGTGAACAACAGACGGAAATTGACCAAATGAGCAATGAAGCGAACAGAAATAAAAATGATTGGATCCGGTATGGATGTAATTGAGTTGTTGTGCTTGAATTTGTTTGTCTAGGTCAGACGCTGCGTCTTTAGGGCACATTAGCACGTGTTTCTCGAAGCCCATTGTGAGTAACGATGTTGTAAAGCTATGTTCAATTATAATTATTTTCTGAATGATTAACTGTACTGTTTTCTGAAATGGTATTATTTACTGAATGAATATTTGTCCTAATTTATGAGCTGTACTCATGACATCCTTAGCAATTGACTGTTACTACTATTGTTACAGAGTTCTCTGTCTGTTCCAATCTTTGGAACTCCTGTTACTGTATTGATGGCCATCAACTGACTGCTCGGTTTATTAAGACCTACTGTACTGTTCTGCTACTGGATGTACCACGTATGACTATTATGATTGTTACATGAAGGATATGATATGGAATATGAAATATTGATCAAATAAATGATTTACTGATGTAATTGACTGTTTTAAATACCGAAAAGACATTCATTCTTAACCCCTTTACGCATTTGTTATTCACTGGGCTTTAGCTCACTGTATATATATATATATATATGTAGGTATTCAAGCACCTGAGTAGAGCTAGCAGCGTCGACCCCGATTCCATTTTATCAAGCTAACTTGTTGTGCCTCATTACAAGGCTCCAATCCGTTGTTGTCAAGACTTTTTAGGTGATCTATTTCCACCCATTTTTGGAGAGTTGTTAAATATCAAAGTAAATGTTTATACTTTATTTTTGGCTTGGGATTTAATTTCCTAACACGTCTTGGATGTTTTAGACTTAAGCTTTTATATATATGTATACATTCATATGGAAGTTGTTTGTTCATTTACGTCCCCACAGCTTTTTGGACATTATGTTTTAATATGTATAGGCTTCTGCCGGCCCCTTTTATTGTTCAATTGTCATTACTACTAATCAGGCCTTTGGTAATCACGGATTACTGGCAGGTTATGATGCTAAATCCTTAGGGGCGGGTTTGGATTGTGACTGAATGGTATCAGAGCACGAGTTAATTTACTCACACACGTGTCCAAATGAGCTATAGGATGTCCTAGAAATGTAATTACGGCATTGCATGAGTATAAATAAGTGTGTGAGGACATGTTATGTGTATATGTGCTAACATGAATAAGTAAACCATCTTTCCTATGTTTATTATTACCATGTTTCATATAGTGCAATGGAGAATGCAAGGAATACAGATGAATCGGAATCATCTGAAACAAGAATTGCAAGATTGGAAAGGATGGTTGAATTATTGATTGAGGCTCTAAGACAACAACAGGACCAACAGCTCCCACTTCCTCCTCTGCCACCAGTGCATCCAGAACCAAATGCCAATGATGATGTGATTGCTTTGACACAAAGTTTAACAAAATGAAGCCACCAATATTCCAGGGAGGTCTTGAGCCACTGAAGGTCGAATCATGGATCCTAGAAACTGAAAAACTGTTTGAAGTATTTCCGTGTTCAGAGGCGCATAAAGTGTTATTAGCTACTTTTACTTTACAAGAAGAAGCCAGACGGTGGTGGATGCTTATTCGTGATACAAACAATGATATGACTTGGGTTCAGTTTAAGGAAGCTTGTTATGAAAAATATTTCCCTCAGTGCATTCGTGACCGCAAAGTATCCGAATTTGAACAATTGAAGCAGGGCACCATGTCAGTAGCCGAATATGAATCTAAGTTCACCGAGCTTGCCCGATATGCACCACACATAGTAGATACTGACTATAAAAAGGCTAAAAAATTTGAGGATGGACTTAATGTTGAGATACTTGACCGAATCAATGTTTTGAAATTACTTAAGTATGTAAATGTCCTTGACTGAGCTATTATAGCTGAGGTAAATGTAGCAGCATTGAAACAGGCTAAGACACCAGTGACCGAATGGCGGGGTAAAAGACAAAGTTTTAATTTCAAAAAAGGCCGGAATAACTCATTAAGTAAAAAGCAAAATACAGAGTCGACAAGTAGTTCTAGCCAAAGGAACAATTCCATACCACCTTGTCCAGAATGTGGCAGGAGACATAAAGGGGTGTGTTATAAAATTTTTGGGGCATGTTATAGGTGTGGCAAGGTGGGCCACATGATCAAAGATTGTCCTCTCACACCTCAAGGCACTAGCAGACCTGTAGCAAGTGCTGCAGCATCAACTGTTACACCAAAACCCAACTCCAAAACTACTGGGAGAGAACCTTTGAGACAAGGCCAGGTGTTTGCACTTGTACTAGGAGATGTGTAGAATACTGAGACAGTTGTGTTGGGTATACTTTCAATTTGTGCTCAAAATGCTTATATTTTGATTGATTCGGGGTCTACACACTTGTTTGTCTCGCATGCTTTTTCATGAAAATTTAATAGACCACTGGAACCCACGAACTATTTATTAGCTGTATCTTCACCTGCTGGGAGGTCTATGACTTGTGCTTATGTGTATCCTGCATGTGAGAATGTTATTGGAGATGTGCTTTTATATGTTGATTTGCTACCTCTGAATTTTGATCATTTTGATATAATTTTGGGAATGGATTGGTTAACAAAATATCATGCCTCCATCGATTGTGTAACAAAAGAAGTTGTTTTTTGTCCACCTGAATTGCCCGAATTTGTATTTAACGGAGTTAGTGTCATACCTCTCCCATACTTTATTTCACCTATGAAAACACTCAAATTGATTAAAAAATGGTGTAAAGGGTATTTATGTTGTATATTGACTGTGCCTACAAATACTAAAGCTAATGTGGACAGTATTCCTATAGTCATAGAATTCCTAGATGTTTTTCCAGATGATTTTCCAGGGAATTTGATTGACAGTGAGATTGAATTCACTATTGAGGTGATACCGGGTACAAATCTAATTTCCAAAGCTTCGTACAGAATGGCACCTACTGAATTAAAAGAGTTAAAAATCCAGTTGCAAGAGTTGTTAGACAAAAAGTTTATCAGACCTAGTACATCAGCGTGGGGCGCTCCAGTTTTATTTGTAAAAAAGAAGGATGGTTCATTGAGGCTTTGCATAGACTACCGTGAATTGAACAAGGTGACAGTGAAGAACAAGTATCCATTACCTCGTATTGATGATTTATTTGACCAACTGCAAGGTGCTCAAGTCTTTTCCAAGATTGATCTTAGATCCGGATACCACCAATTGAAGGTCAAAGCTGAGGACATTGAAAAGATTGCTTTCCGAACAATGTACGTGCATTATGAATTTCTTGTTATGCCTTTCGGAGTTACTAACGCGCCTGCTGCATTTATAGATCTTATGAACATAATTTTCAAACCATTCCTCGATGAATTTGTGGTTGTTTTTATAGATGGCATTTTGATTTATTCCAAAAGCAAAGAAGAACACGAACATCACTTGAGATTTGCTTTGCAAGCCTTGAGAGAGAAGAAATTATATGCAAAACCGACAAAGGGTGACTTCTGGCTTGATAGTGTTATGTTTTTAGGGCATGTAATCAATAAAGAGGGCATTTCAGTTGACCCACAAAAAATTCAAGCAGTGGTGAATTGGCCTAGATCGACTACTGTTACTGAAGTCTGGAGTTTCTTGGGGCCGGGTACTATCGAAGATTTGTGAAAGACTTTTCCAAAATTGCCTTTCCATTGACTCAGTTGACACAGAAGGGAATACCGTTTGACTGGACCAATCAGAGAGAATCAGCCTTTCAAGAATTAAAGACTCGACTTGTGACTGCACCGATTCTCACCTTACCCTCAGGTATGGATGGATTTACTATTTTTAGTGATGCTTCTTATAAGGGTTTGGGGTATGTATTGATGCATAATGGAAAAATAATAGCATATGCTTCTTGACAACTGTGGCCACATGAAAAGAATTACCCAACTCATGATTTGGAACTTGCCGCTGTAGTATTTGCATTGAAAATTTGGTGCCACTACTTTTATGGGGCAACGTGTGAGGTGTATACAGATCACACGAGCTTAAAATATTTCTTTACACAGAAAGAGTTGAACAAGAGACAACGGAGATGGCTGGAATTGATAAAAGACTACGATTTGCAAATCTTGTACGATCCGAGGAAAGCTAACACTGTCGCTGATGCACTTAGTCGGAAGTCAATTGTGAATTTGGCTTGTTTACTTACTGGGCAAAAATAATTGTTACAAGACCTTGAGAAATTCGAAGTTGAAGTTGTATTACGGGAGCAAGGTGGGACTTTAGCTGTTATCTTCGCCCAACCAGCACTTATTGAGGAAATTAAAGAGAAACAACAGCAAGATGACTTTTTGAAAAAGATTATTGATGAACAGAAACCCAAACTGAGGCCAGGCTTTGTGTTTCAAAGTGATTTGTTAAAGTTTCAAGGTAAATTGTGTGTACCAAATGATCCCGAATTGAAAAAGCGAGTTTTTCAAGAAGCCTACAGTTCAAAACTTTCTATCCATTCGGGAAATACAAAAATGTATCAGGACTTAAAGTTGAATTTTTGGTGGCCGGGAATGAAGAAAGAAATTGTTGAGTTTGTGTCAAAGTGCTTACAATGTCAACAAGTCAAAGCAGAGCATCAATGACCCGCAGGATTACTTCAACCACTGCCAATACGGGAGTGGAAATAGGAGCATATTACAATGGATTTCATAGTTGGACTACCTCACTCCAATAGAGGTATAGACTCAATTTGGGTTATTGTTGACCGTTTGACTAAATTTGCACACTTTTTACTTGTCAAAACAATTTACAATGCGGATAAGTTGGCTACAATTTATGTTAATGAGATTGTTAGATTGCATGAAGTGCCAGTGTCCACTGTTTCTGATAAGGACTCAAAGTTCACATCAAGATTTTCGCAAAGTTTACAAATGGCGTTGGGAACTGAATTAAGATTGAGCAGTGCATACTATCCACAGACCGATGGCCAGTCAAAAAGAACAATCCAAACTCTGGAGGACATGTTGCGTATGTGTGTGCTTGATTTTCAAGGGAATTGGGAAACTCACTTGCCTCTAGCTGAACTTGCCTACAATAACAGTTTCTATTCAAGCATTAGTATGGCGCCTTTCGAGGCATTATATGGCAGAAAATGTCGATCTCCTATTTGTTAGGCTGAAGTTGGAGATGGGCCTTTACTTGGGCCTGAAATTGTGCATGAAACAACAAAAAAAGTAAAGTTAATTCAACAAAGACTGAAAACCGCCCAAAGTAGACAGAAAAGTTATGCGGATGTCCGAAGGCGAGATAGGGAATATGGAGTGGGTGACCATATTTTTATTAAAGTGACACCAATGAAAGGGCAGACTCGCTTTGGAACCAAGGGCAACTTAGCATCGAGGTATGTTGGGCCATATGAAATCATTGAAAAGATTAATCTAGTGGCATATCAGGTGGCATTTCCTCCCGAAATAGAGCATATGCATAATATCCTTTCATGTTTCGATGTTGCGGGATTATCTTCAGGATCTTTTCCATGTTATTGAACCTACTCATGTGGTGTTAAGTGATGATTACACGTATGAAGAAAGGCCCATTCAAATTGTAAACAAACGGATCAAGAAGTTAAGAAATAAGGAAATTTCGTTGGTGAAAGTAGATTGGCAAAATCATGGGGGTATCTATGCAACATGGGAAATAGAGGATGATATGAAGCGAAGATATCCGGACCTTTTCCCACTTGATCTTATATTCTTCCCGGAGGAAGGTAATTGAGTTTGGAGGATCAAACGTCCTAAGGGGGGGAGAATGTGACAACTAGCTCCTTAATTAAGAAAATTAATTTAATTGATTATGTGCTTAAAGCTAATTATGTGATTATATGTTACGAAATGTTATTGTGATGCCATGTGATTATTTGAATTGTGTTATTGTGGATAGATAGGTTAAAGTGAATATTAAACCTATCTGATTCATTAATTAGTAACAAGTTAGAATTAAGAAATTGGATAGGAATTAGAGCCTAATTCACCTTGGCATAATTTAATTTAGTATAATAAGATTATATTGTGATGAAGATTGATTAAATTGAGTGAGTTGATTTACATTAATTATGTGATTAATTATTAACATTTTTAAAAAAAAAAAGAAAAGAAAAGGAAAATCCTACTCATCACTTGAATAGGAATAAGAGTGTAGTGTAGTGGGTTTTTCTTATTTCCAGATGCATACACGTAGGAAGAGGGAGAGTAGAAAACAAAACAATTATGAGAACTCAACCTAGAGAATATAGAAGAGAGGAAAAAGTAAGGGAAGAGAAGGTGAAGAAATCAGTGTAACTACACTCTATTCTTCATAATACACTCAATCTAGGTAAGAATTACCCTCTTTCAACTCCTGAATTTGTAGAGTTATGTTTTAATTTCAGTTTCGTTAAACAATTATGAGTAGAATTGAGGTTTAGTTCATATAATTAGAGAATTGAAACATGCATGGCCTACAATGGACAAATGAGAGAAGTAACTTAAGATAGCTTCATGCATGGCATGATTTTCATGGAAATTGTTTTCATATATTTAAACTCTTGCATGGATCCATTGATAAAGAACTTCCATGAAACTTTGAAGCTTGAGGCTCACTTGTACAATTTGTGATCTTGTAATGACTTTCAAGAGTTTAAAATTGTTGTTTTTTTGGATTTAAACCCCAAGTTGGAGCCATGAATTTTGTTTAACATTTGTTATGTTTAAAAGGATGTAATCTTGAAAGATTTAGGACTTAAATTGCATGAATTGTGACTGAATCTGCTAAAGAATTGCACTGCCATTATAGGACAGCTTTCGGGCTCAAATTACCCAGCACCACACGTGCGGCTTGGAGCCCCGCACGTACGGAAAACAGGGCACTTCAACTGAGCGTACTACATTATATGCAGGTGCGGGAGGCACGTGCGGCACAGGTCCTGTACGTGCGGCCAAGCCCTCCACATATGCGGTCCTTTTGGGTGGCCTCGGTTTGTTTTTTGTTCCTCTTCTCCACCTTCCGGGTCCCTGTTTACATGGTTTTAAAGTGTTTTCATATGCATTGCGTCGTATGAATGAACGAATGAAATTTAGAACCGATTAAGTGAACAACGGACAAAAATTAACCAAATGAACAATGAAGCGAGCAGAAATAGAAATGACTGGATCCGGCCTAGATGTAATTGAGTTATTGTGCTTGAATTTGTTTGTCTAGGTCAGACGCTGCGCCTTACTACACATTAGCACGTGTTTCTCGGAGCCCACTGTCAATAACGATGTTGTAAAGCTATGTTCAATTCTAATTATTTTCTGAATAATTAACTGTATTGCTTTTTGAAATGGTATTACTAAATGAATGTTTGTCCTAATTTATGAACTATACTTGTGGCATCCTTTGCAACTGACTGTTACTGTTACTGTTATTACTACTGTTACAGAGATCTCTGTCCTTTCCAATCCTTGGAACTACTGTTACTGTATTGATGGCCATCAACTAACTGTTCAGTCTATTAAGACCTACTGTACTATTCCGCTACTGGATGTACCACGTATGACTGTTATGATTGTTACATGACGTATATGATATGGAATATGAAATATTGATCAAATAAATGATTTACTGATGCAATTGACCGTTTTAAATACCGAAAGGCATTTATTCTTAACCCCTTTACGCATTTGTTATTCACTGGGCTTTAGCTCACTGTGTTTATATATATGTATGTAGGTATTCAGGCACCAGAGCAGAGCTAGCAGCGTCGACCCCAATTTCGTTTTGTCAAGCCAATCTGTTGTGCCTTGCTACGAGGCTCCAATCCATTGTTGTCAAGGCTTTTTGGGTGATCTATTTCTACCCTTTTTAGAGAGTTGTTAAATGTCAAAGTCAATGTTTATACTTTATTTTTGGCTTGGGATTTAATTCCCTAACACGTCTTGGATGTTTTGGACTTAAGTTTATATATATATATATATATGTATATATTCATATGGAAGTTGTTTGTTCATTTACGTCCCCACAGCTCTTTGGACTTTATGTTTTAATATGTATAGGCTTCCGCCAACCCCTTTTATTGTTCCATTGTCATTACTACTAATCAGGCCTTTGGTAATCACGAATTATTGGTTGGTTACAATGCTAAACCCTTAGGGGCGGGTTTGGGTCGTGACAGGGAAAGTGATTCCATGATAGGCTGGTGACGTCAAAAGTCAGTGGAAAAGGGGAAGTTGACAACGGTATGAGGAGATAAGAGAGGAGCTGTGGCAACGAGGTAAGTGAGAGAGTTGTTAGCATTACACTCGTAGAGAAATGACATGCTTATAACTATAAAAGGCGGTGAAAGAGAGGTTGGCAACATCAAAGGGATGTGAGAGAGAGTTTGGAGGTGTCAGAGTAAGGTAGAGGAGGGGTTGCCAAAGTTAAGAGGGTAGAGAAGGGCTTGGCCGACGTTTAGGTTTGCAAGAAAGTAAAGAGATGGAAGAGAGAGAACAGAAAGAAGGGCAATATCAAAATTTATTTCCACTATTTTTAAATTTTTTTACTTCTTTGCATATATATATTGCAACTAATTTTAATTCCTCTTTGATTTGTAATTATTTATTATACTTATCATGTAATTTTTTCAATTTAAAATTGTTTGAATTAAAAAATTTTCGTAACATACTCCTCAAGTAGATAATCTTGAAATTAACATGTGAGGCATCGCTAATTAGGTACTATAATAATAATTAATTTAAAATTTGTAAAATCAAGTACGGACTGAACGGTGGCCTAGTCCCGGCCGTACAGGGCTTGATTGCGATGAGGGATGATGTGTTTTTGGTGTTGGGTAGGATTGTAATTGAGTTGAGTTGAGTCAAATTTTAATATATTTGGATTTATTTAATAAGATTTTAACGAATTTGAATTCGAACTCAAACTCAAACTCGAACTTAATAAAAACTTAACGAACCGAGCTTGGGCCGAGTTGGCTTAGACTTGATTCGAGTTCGAACCTATTCATGAACTTTAACGAGTCAAAAAATTTATAAATTCATACTTGCGTATGAGACTAAAGTTATAATTAAAACTTTATTATACAATTATATATACAATATATATAAACATTCTAAAAAAAGTCAATATTTAACCAAAAAAAATAATATTTACTATCACTATTATATAAATATACTATCTATAGTTAACTATTATTTACATTTATACTTTTTAAATATATAAATAACATATTTATCTTATTTTTTTTATATATATTTACATTGTTTAATGTATAAATAATAAATATTAAACGAGTCAGCTAATGATCTGAATATATGAGCCGAGTTTTAGAATGTTTAGATTTGTTTATTAAAAATATAATGAGCGCGAACTCAAACTTGAACAAAAAAAAAATAAAATAATAAACCGAATTCAAATGAGTTCTTACTGAACCGAACTTGAACTTGTCCATAAACAGTTTTGTTAATTTATAGCCCTAATATTTGGCATGCCTTTTTGCATTTAAAAAAAAAAATTATTAATTAGTAGTACTAGAATTCAATAGCTCTCCAAAATTATTTTTTAGGGGCCCGAGTCCAGCCTTCCTCCTCTTATTCCTCTCTTCTAAAAAGTGAAAATTACTTGTGAGTGAACTTTTCAAGAATTAATTACAAAGTTATGATAAAGTTTAGGGAGCTTCTATTTGCACATACAATATACACTTTTTACACATCCTCCTCACTATATTTTTTGCACATCCTCTTCATTAAGTGTATGTATAGAGTAGGTTTGGTGTGGGTAAATAGAAGCTCCCTAAAGTTTAGGATAAATTACACTTATACCTCTTAAGGTTTGACTTTAATATACGTCACTCATTGACGTTTGAAAAATTATACTAACTCTCCTGTCATTGTAATTATTTAGACGGAATGAAAATATTGAACTCATGTACTATCTTTTTGCTTGTTTTGTTTTACTTCCTCTTTTTTCTTTTATTTTTTTTTATTTTTTTTTCTTTCTTTCCTTTCCTTTGCTTTATTTTTTTTAATGTAAATTTCTATATTTTTTTACTAGAAGTTGTTGCATTTTATATAAATAGGGGATTTGTGAAATAAGACTATTAACGACATTGATTAAAATGTAATTTTCAAAACGCTAGGGGATGATGAGGTGTAATTTGGATCAAATCTCAAGAAGTGTCACTGTAATTTATCCTAAAGTTTATAATTTTATTTTTTAATATTTATATGTTAATCATTAATTAAAAAATAATTTTTTAAAACAATCAGGTGAAATTTCCCAAAAGTTAATTGATGGTAATGCCCTGTTGAGGAAGAGAAGGGGTTTGAGAAGAAGCTCTTTTTGCGCAAGTTTAGCTTCAAAGCCACTTTAGCGAAGGATGTTGGAACAGATGAAATAAAGCGAGTTGAATCGGGTGGATCTAGTTTCATCAGCAACAGAGGCAGGGAGGGCATCGGTACTACTTGTTAGTAGTAGATTTTTGCTTGCCCCTTTTTTTTTTTTTTTGGGATAAATTACGTGATATTTTTGAGATTAGAATTTGTTTTTAATAATTTTTATAAATTTAATATAATTATATTAATTTTTTTAATATTTTAATTTATATAATATTTTGGTCCAATTTTATTATTAGTTATAGGATGCAAAAATAATATTATCATCATTTTTATAGTGAAATGTATATTTTATCTTTTATTTCTATAATTTTATATCATTTATATTAGTTTAGGTCTCTTAATCTTACTAAAAATAAAAGTTAG